CGTAATTATCTACACCTTTTTGTCTATGATTATCTACAATAATGCCGTCATGATGTTATCGATAATAGCTGATGATGCTTCACTCAATGATGTGAAGCCATTAATGATCACCGGCAATACAAGTATTCGTGATTATGGTGAAATCAATACATCGGTAATTCAGACAGAATTATTGTTAGTTATATCGTTTGTACCTACACCGTTGTTAGCTATTATTGACGATATTGTTAATGATATTCTCGAAAATCATCGACGGAAAGCAGTTGGTGTCACTCACAAATTCTTTTTCTTTCTAAACTTTTTTACTAGATAGTGTCAAACAAGTTAAAATATTTTTTATTTTCCCGTGCTGATTGGCTCAAGAATGGAGTTGGTGGATACACAAAACTACAACCTGGATAGAGCGATTTGAAAGAGCACAAATTGGAGATTGATTCATTTCAATAGCTATGTGCAAAATTTGAAATAACACAGAAATCAATAGCTATGGACATAGACAGTCGGGTGTAACTCTCGTTCTCTATTCACTAGATCGTGCATGATTGATGAATTTCTCTTTTATTAGCACTGTGGATTCTTATAATATTATTAACTTATAAGTTAGTTTTTAACTCTTTTTCCGGCAAAATTTTCAGTTGGTATTTAATTTCTTTATTTATTTATTGAAAAAAAAATTCTTGGATAAATTAAATTTCTTAAACTATTTATTTTTTAATATTATTAACTAAACAATTGTTATGTTTTCCTAATGTTCTTAATTATGAACAAAAAAAATTCATTCAAAAAACAAAGAGAAAAATATATAAACTTTAAAAATTGGGGGCTTTTAACAATCCAAGGCGACCATCTAATGTGCCTAATATTTGAGCCGGCTCTAGTAAAAGTGAATATACAGGATTTTGCAGTTGTAAATTAATGAGGAAAAGGGGAAAAAAAAAAAAAAGATAAAGCAGGAATTAATGGAAATTCATAATTTTATTAATTGCAATCCAATCATCAATTACAAAGAGGAATAAAGTAATAAAAGAACTTTTTCAAAAAGGGTTACATAAATGGACATTCTTTTAAATATCTTTTAAAATTAATTTTTTTTTTTCCACCACAAACGTGGAACTTTTCTTTTCTTTCTACAACTTTTTTCTTCACCGTGGACATGCTTTTCTTTTCCCTCACTACACTTGTTTTTCTTTTTTTTTTTTTT